CTGCATCATATATGGTGTTATCACAAATCATGCATGTCATATTACCCCAGCTGACACCACTGAACCAATCATCTCTTTTTGTGGGAAGAAGTGCAAAGCTGTACTTTTCTTTCAAGTCTCTCAACCCTTGCAAATTTCATTCAGTTAAAAAGCGTGGTGTAGCTTCTAGGCGGCAGATGTTGAACGTCCATTAATTGTCAATTAGATTATTGGGTGTTGCCTGCTTCAATTAGGCTAGTGTACCTTTTTTACTCAACCTAGACATGTTGTGGCCGAAATCCTGGTATAACTGAATTCTAAAAGACACGAGTCTAATATCCTGTGTTGTTCCCATGTATTTTCTGTCCTTTACCAAAGCATTATGTTTAAGTGAAATTTCTTGTTCATTTAACAGCTCTTTGAAGGTGTCAAGAAGTACGTCGGTGTCAAACATGAGTTGGAAGCTAGATTTTCGTGGTCTCTAGTTCATAGGGAATGTACAGATTCAGATTTCATTCTTAGGTGGACACCCTCATATTGTGGAAAGCAATTCCAAGCTGGCCATAGCTCTCTGACAGTCATGGATGAATGCTTTCTCCCCATTATTGACAGGAGGAGTGGGGGTAAATATTGTACGAAATGTCCTTTACAATTGTGGGTAAACTTTTCAGCACTTCAAGTTTTTTATACTACAATATTTTTATTTGGTATTGCTTTTGTGTTGGTTCTTTTGCTTAAACTTTGCTTTTCTTTGGTCGAACTTCAATCGGCTAAATTTTGGTGGATTCTATACTGCTCTTCTTGAGAGAGGCGATGAAATAGTCGCTTCAGCATCTATTAGGTTATTCATCTCCTGATAATCTTTTGTTTTGGTTTCAATCCTATATGTGAGATAACTACAAAAAGGATGGCAGAGATAATGCTAGTGTCAATAAATATGTACTCGTGCATGTTTTATCTTATGCACTTTTAGAATTTAGATTATTGGTTTTGATGCATGTTTTTTCCTGTTAAAGCGATCTACATGTTATTAATGATATTTTACCTTTCTCTTTAGATTTCATGGTAACCGCTTAGCTGAGATGCAGTTCATTGGAACTCGGCATGTCTACAGACACCAAGGGATGTGCCGCCGGCTTTTCAGCGTTGTTGAATCAGTAAGTTATTTTTTTTTTTCCTTCTATACTTCGAGGTAGCGAGGTAAACAGATTCTTGCTGTAAAACTCTGCTAATTTGTTCTCTATGTCTTTTGATGTGAAGACTCTTCAAAATCTCAAAGTTGAATTACTTGTTATCCCTGCAACTGCTGACTTAAGCCATGTTTGGATATCCAAATTCGGGTTTAAATATGTCGAGGATTCTCTGAAGAAAGAATTGCGGTCCATGAATCTACTAGCCTTTCCTGGTATTGATGTGTTACAGAAAGAACTGCTAGCACCAAGACATGCCAAGTCTGCTGCTGACACAGGTATACTATTAATCAATTTAGCCTCTTCTTCTTTTTCTTGCCTATTGATTTTCTTACTTGGGCTCCATTATTTGTCAAGAAGACTGTGACCCATGCAATGAAGACACTGATTCTGCGATCAAAACTAATGAAGTTTCCGTCTTTAAAACTTTCTCTGTATCAATTCAATTTTTTGAGAAGTTGAAAATTTCTTCAAGTTTGATTAGTTTTGATCCGTTTATGACATTTTCAAAGGTTTAAGTGTTCATTTTATATGTTGTCTTGAAATTTGATTAAGTGTTTGTGATTTAGCAACTTGCTTCACATGGATTGTTCCATGTACATGTAAGAGCTACTGGTGGCCTTCACATTGATGATCATCATACTAATGAAGATGTTGCTCTTGCTATTGGTACAGTAAGTAGTCAAGTGTATTTTCTTTCTCTATTGAGTAAGTTGATTGAGTAGCACTTTGGGAAGTTGTAGATGTAATTACTGTTTTGTTTCTATTAGGCTTTGTTAAAGGCACTTGGTGAGCGGAAAGGGATTAACCGTTTTGGCAATTTTACAGCTCCTCTTGATGAAGCACTCATACGTGTGTCCCTGGTACGATACAAATTGTTAACTTTCTGTTGCATATATCTAGTTTGTTTTTCAAGGTAATTTGGAGTTTCCGGAAGTGTTTATGGTTGATGATGGATGAAAATCTGGCAAGATCTATCTGGTAGACCATATCTTGGCTACAAACTTAGAGATTCCAACCCAGAGAGTAGGAACATACGACACACAGGTCCCTCCAGTTTGAGGTTTTTCTAATTTTTTCATTTTCTTGGTTTGTCAAATCACTAAATGAATCTTCTCCCATTTAGTTGGTGGAGCATTTCTTCCAGTCTTTGGTGAATACTTCTGGTATGACACTTCACACCCGACAGGTATCACGATTCCAATCTTTCATAAAGCAATCAAGAATAATAACAGTAAATTAATGTTATTTTCTATATTCAATCGGAAAACATTTTCTTGACAATTATCTCTTAATTCGATTGGTTATGACAGCTTGCCGGTAAAAACTCTCATCACATAATAGAAGCGACCTTTAAGGCCTTTGCAAGGGCTCTCCGACAAGCAACAGAGTCTGATCCACGTCGCGGTGGAACAATACCAAGGTTTGAGTTTGGACTCATACATGCAAAACTAGTCTTATTGAAAATCTCACCTCAGATAAAAGACTCACACACACACACTACACATATCATTCTTCATCCATTACTTATTGCAATATTCGTCATAACAAAAATAGAAAATCTTTGGAAAGAAGCAAGATCTGGCTGGGAAGAATCTATATAATGAGAAAACAAGTCTAACGTTGTTAAGTTTACGGCATATTTGCAGTTCAAAAGGAGTCTTGTCACGGTCGTAAGAGGCAGTGAAAAAATGTTTCAGTCTATTGTTCGGAGTTATGTACAATGTACATTACAATGTCAAACCTGCTGGATCTTTGTTCATTTAATTTGCAAAAGTAGATGTATTTAAGATCAGTCTTGTGAAAAATGGTTCATCTTTATATTATACCGCTCTAAACTGCTTTATCCTATCTTAGCATTTGATCTTTTTTCTTTCACCCATTGTACAGTACGTAGTATGACATCTAATGCCCTTTCAGTGGTGTTTCAGCGTTTTTTTGTTGCCTTTGCTTAATGCTCACTTCTAATCAGTGTTTTAATTTCGTAACACATTACATGCGAGTTCTTTGCTGATGTTTAGGTGCAGAGTAAGGATTTTGCTAGCTAATTGGTTATAATTGATCACCAATAAGTTGTTTGTCTCCCAGATTATTGTTCTTGCTAGACGTTTATCAAGCTAATTGGTTATTGTTGGTCACAAGGATCTTATTGCTCTCTCTGGTTCTAGAATCTAGACTTTGTTCATCTGTGTTGTTGTATTAGTGGTAGTCACCAATAGCTCTTTCCTCATTACGAGTGCTCCTGCTCGTGATTCATGGAGCTTTCTCTGTAATTTTCGCATGTTACAACTGATAAATTTGATACTCTTGTTTTCTTCTTTTGTTGCCCTCTTTGTTCTTGTTTCTATCTAACTGACGATAGTTCTGTGTGCCCACTTCTATCAAAACACTATTCTAGCTAGCTAACTCGATGACTATCAATTTGTTTGATGAGTATGCAATGGCTCAAGGAGTCTCTAGTGTGCTATATGCAGTAGTACTTGTGTTGTGAATCTGAACCAGTTGGTCCTAAATCACAGGTCTTCTAAAGACCTCTAACACGCATGGTGTTATAATGCTAACTCATACTATTTATGATGATGCGTACTCGCCTATAGAATCACTTAGGTCTACACAAAGCTCATGTGTCTTCCGTGTTTTGGTTAAGTAGTAAAATTGCAATATTATCGTAGAACAAGCTTTCAACTCTCTAATAAATGATGGTCTAAGAAGCATATCAGCCTCAATGGAGCTTTGTCGACTTCGAGACAGAAGAATACCACAATCGAGATTCTGAGAGAACTAAAAGGATACAAGTAAATAATACATATATCCCCAAAAGTCAAAAGTAACACTATGTGATATTTTTCCTTCTGAATCTTGTTTTGTTAGTCACACGCCTAGTTAAACTCAATCGATAAACTAATACTTTTAATGTTTTCTTAGATAGATTGCGCTTTTATTGCCTTTAAATTGTGGCTGGAGACTACTTGGAGAGTGGTGACCTTGATGTTTTTAATCAGTCATCACAGTTTACATAGAGACAAATTGATAAAACTGCAGAGGCTGATATTTAGTTCTGCTTAAAACTTAGAACTTAAACACCTAATCTGAAGTATGGTGTGATTCTCATTGAAAAGAATCCTTGGAATCATGTACTTATATGAAAGTAGAAGGATTCTCTCCTAGAGAGTGACACGTCAGCAGCTGAGAGGAGGACACGTGTCCAAAGAAAAAGTCGCCAACAATCTTGATTTGCTTCAATCGGCTCTCTTCGTCTCCCGTACGTTCCTCCTGCAATTGTGATGCTTCATATCCCTTTTACAGTTATCAATCAAGTCCAAGTGTAGAGGCACCACTTCTTTTATATTAAATGTTAAACTCATGGTTCATCTTCATTGAATCCTGCAATTCATGTATCCACACGATTTAACTCTAATATGTCAAAGGACCATATGAGACTCCGAGTAACAGTGAAAAAAACAAGAAGAGGATCATTGTACGAGTTAAATTTCTCTTATAGTTGTTGGATCACTCACTAAGTTTCTTCCGTTTTCGCTTCGATCTATACACCACTAAGAAAGTAAACCCTAGAAATTCAAATCCTTAACCATCTCTTTCGTTTCTACTTTTGTGTTTCTTGGCGAAATTAGGGGTTTGATTGCTCTTCGAGTTTAAGGTATTGTTTTTTTTTTTTTGCCAATCAAACACCATATATTAATTCACGGAATAAGACTCTCTTCTAGAGAGAGCCAATCAGGTATCGTCGAACTTACATGGAAAAAACAGAACCCGCGATTTCTTGCACATTTCGCAAGATAATCGGCGGAGGTATTACCACTACGAGGGATATGCTTAAGACTGAAAGTAGTAAAACGATCCCTGTAATAAGCAAAGTCTGTTAACTCTGTAAAAAACGTAGGCCACTCTTCAGGAGCACAAGTCATAGCCAATAGGTCAGAACAATCCGTCTGAATGATGATACTCGTCATTGGGATGGCCAATAAATACTTCATCGTCCATAAAAGAGTATCCAGTTCAGCATGTAGGGGAGAAAGACTTCTACGCGAGCCTTTCAAGCCCAAGTGTAGCAGTCGTCCTCCCTAATAGACAAGCCACCCGTGCCCACTCCTAGTCTCCGTCCCGATCCAAGATCCATCAATGGAGCATACCGGTCTATCCTCTGGAGATGGTGACTCATGCGTACTAAGAATCAACTCGGCCTGGGGGTCTTCTCGCTGATTTGCTCGTCTCCACGCGCCTTCCTCTTGTGTTGCAAGATCTAGCGTTTCCTGAGGTGGTACGCTCAAATTATCGAAAATCTTTCGATTGCGCGCCTTCCAAATATACCACATAATCCATGGGAATACTCTTAGACTCTCTTCATCCGCACCCACCTCTTTACCCCGCCAATACAGATAATCTAAGTTATTGTAGAGTGACGCCGAGGGAAACAGTGCTGGGGGAGATGGGATATTGGAGAGAGCCCAGACCTGTCTAGCAGGAGGACATTCAAATATCAGATGATTGATTGATTCTTCTTCTGCACCACATCTTGAACATCCTTTATCTCTCTACCAATATGGCGATAAAATAGGCGTTGGCTCCAAGCCAAACAACCAGTCACACATTGCCACACGAAATGCTTTAATTTTCGCGTAGTTTTTAATTTCCAAGCTTGCGCCTTTAGTGTCGTAACACTAGGTCCCTGAGAAGGGTGGTCGCAAACAGGGCGAGAAAGATTTCTCGCGACCTCATATCCAGATTTGATGGTGTAATTACCAGACTTTGTCATTGTCCAACAATAACCATCATTCGAGACAATACGGCTCGGTTTAATCCCTAATATTAGGGTAATTTCCTCCGGGGGAAACAATTCCCGGAGACGATCCATCTTCCACTGTTTAGACCCAAAGTCAATCAAGGTATTAACGAAAACCAAAGGGTCTCTCTCCACCGATAATCCCTTAGGTGGGCGTGCCGGAGTATCTGGTATCCAGGGGTCTGTCCAAATGCAGGTACCGAAGCCCGAGCCAATGGTCTTGCGGATTCCATATTTAAGAATGTCCTTGGCGGCCAATATGCTTCTCCATCCATACGACGGTCGATTGGAAACAGTGATCTCTAGCGGACTAGAATACCGAAAGTAATGTCCTTTAAGAACCCTACTAAGGAGAGAATCTGGAAATCGTAATAATCTCCACAATTGCTTCGCCAAGAGTGCGAGATTAAAATCTTCCAAGGACCTAAATCCTAGCCCTCCTTCAGATAGTTGGGTACAGATTTGGTCCCAAGCTATCCAGTGTATTCCTCGACTATCTACTTTATTACTCCACGAAAAGTTGGCAATTGCACTGGTAAGTTTGGAACATATTGCTTTTGGCAGTAGGAAGCACGACATTACATATGTCGGAAGAGCTTGTGCTTGTGATTTAATTAGGACTTCTTTTCCGCCTTTAGATAGGAATTTTGACGACCACGAGTTGACTCTAGTTTGTAATCTGTCTCGCACAAACGCGAAGACCTGAGCTTTTGATCCATGTATTTTTTCAGGAAGGCCTAAATATGTTCCCATCCCGCCTTCTCGTGAAATCCCAAGAATCGATTTGATTTCATACCGTACGGGTGGTGGGACCTCGTTACCAAACATAATGGAGGATTTATTCAGATTAACCTCTTGTCCAGATGCCCCGCCATAAGAGCGGATAATGTCAATAACTTCTTTAATCTGGTCGGCATTGGCCTGACAGAAAAATAAGCTATCGTCAGCAAACAAAAGATGTGAGACACGAGGGCTCGCATGAGAGATTCGAAGCCCCTGTATTTTGCCTTCCCTTTCCGCCTTCCGAATCTGAGCGATAAGAGCTTCCGTACACAAGATAAATAGGTACGGAGAAATTGGGTCTCCTTGACGAATTCCTCGCGATGGTCGAATCCGACCTTTTGGGTCGCCATTAATCAAAATCCGATATGAAACTGAGGTAATGCATTGCATTATCCAGTCTATCCACTGAATGTTGAATCCCATCTTTTCCATCAAAACTCGGAGGAACCCCCATTCCACCCTATCATAGGCCTTACTCATATCCGTTTTTAGGGCCATAAACTTCTTTCGATTTACCGGATTGGAACGAAGAGCATGGAAGTTTTCTTGCGCGATCAAGATATTATCTGTGATTAATCTCCCTGCAACGAATGCAGATTGCGTCTCGGATATTAAATCCGGAAGAAATCTCTTTAGTCGTAGGCTTAAGATTTTCGAAATGACCTTATAACTTACATTACATAAGCTAATTGGACGAAAACCTGACATTTCTCGCGGTCTTTCTCCTTTAGGGATAAGACAAATATTGGTCTCATTCAGCTTCCCGTCAAAAATTCCGGAGCTAAAGAAATTCTTCACCATAATGGTGAGATCGCCTTTTATGATTTCCCAAAACCGCTGGAAAAAAAAGAGCAGTCATCCCATCCGGACCTGGGGCTTTAGTCGGCTTCAAAGAGAATAAAGCTCTCTTGACTTCTTCTTCGGTGACTTCTTTGACTAAGAACTCATTCATAGCTGGGGTAACCGATGGTGAGATGTCTCTAAGAGCGGATACTGGGTCCACCGGGTTCGATGAAGTAAATAGGTTTTCAAAATAATCTACCACGACTCTTTCAATGCCATCTTCATTATCCACCCACGTCCCATTATCATCCAGAATGCCTAAAATCTTGTTCTTCGTCCTTCGTTGTTTTGTCAAAGCGTGAAAATATTTTGTGTTTTTATCACCAAGCGCTAGCCAGTTTTGGCGACTCTTTTGGTACCAAAATATTTCCTCCTCTGTATAAGCATCGCCCAATTGCTTTTTGAGCTCCCGAAGTTCATCCAAAGATGTGTTATCATCCGCATAATTTTCCTCAATTTTATCATGGAGTTCCTTGATAAGTATCTCAGAATTAGTTTGTGTTGATTTCTTTCAGATGGAGATAACCCGTTTACAGTTCTGGATTTTTTTCACTATGGGTCGGTCTACCCGACCACCAGCTCCGTTCCACCCTTCCAACACTGCTTCGTTGAGCCCGGGTTTTCCAATCCATCTTTTGTCAAACATGAATTTTCTCGAGATTTTTCTCGGACTTGATTGTATAAATGCAAGGAGTGGTCTATGATCCGACCCCCACATCTTTAAGTACTCCACATTAGTGTGGGAAAAAATATTATGCCATTCTTCATTTCCCATGGCTCTGTCTAACCGACATCTAATCTTACCATTTGACCGTTGTCCAATCCAGGAGAATTGATTTCCCTGAAAAGGAAAATCAATAAGTCCACACGAATGGATCATAGCCCGGAATGGTAGGAAGGAGGCTTCAGAACGTTTTTTTCCTCCTCTTTTCTCATGGTTTCCTGTTATTTCATTAAAATCTCCAATAATAAACCATGCCTCGGATCTAGATATACCAATTCGAGTCAATCTCTCCCACACGTACTCGCGATTTGGAACAACAGGATCACCATAGATAAAAGTCATAAAAACTCGATTACCGTTAATGATAGTTTCGATGTCAATCAATCGATCATCTAACAACAAAAACTTAACCGGATATTCCTTAGAATAAAATAAAGCTAAGCCTCCACTAGTACCATCAGGTTCAACAGTTTGGAGGTTGTCAAATCCTAGATCAACTTGCAAAGTTTGCAGATACATTTTGTCATTCTTGGTCTCTGATAAGAACATGAAACCTGGAGAATACATACGACACAACTCTACCAGTCGACGAGAAGTCTCTTTCGCTTTCGCCCCTTGACAATTCCACGCTAAGGTCCTCATATATTAGTTCCGGAGGGAAATTGAAACCCCACCGTACTAATGTTGAATCGAGCGATCTTGAGTGTGGAGAATAGATACTCCTCGTTACAAGAAAGGAAAACTGAATTTCGAAAGATTTTCATATTTGGCGAAATCCAATTGTTGTTTTGACATTTATGTGTCAATGATCGCTCATAATAAGAGGATATTGATGTGCACCATAGCTCCAACAAAATTATGCATAACACACAAAATAATTGTATGGGTAAACATTCCCTAAAGGAAGATTGTTGAAATAAACTCTCTTTGAAAGAGGAAGGTAGTCCAATTAGACTCATGAAGTTGGGTTTTGAAAACAAGAAATGGTTTCCATAATCCCACGAAACATATCTTGCAACATAGGCCCACCAAGAAGATTCTGCAACAGAGGCCCATGAAGCAGATTCAGCATCAGAGGCCCAGCAAGCTTCCAATCTGAGTGGTGGTGATGGAGCTTGAAGTCGTCGGATGTTTGGTTTGGTACATAGGCTGGCGAAGACATTGGAGAAGATGAGCAAAGCCCATGAATGGATTAGGGTTACACAGATTGGGGCACAATACGGGCATATTGGGACGACGGCGGTAAGGACATCGAGGAACGTCTCTGCGCCGGCGAAGCTTATCCCGGCAGCAGGAAAAGAGCAATTCAGGCGAGTCACTAGAAGCCTAGTAGAGGTGGAGGAAAATCTGTTAATCTCTAGGTCAAAGGTGATGGAGGTCCGGACATAAACATAGATAGTGGTGAAGATTGATGAGCAAAATATCTCCAAAACGGAGTAGTTCATCGTCGAGTTCAGATCTGGTAATAGCGAAAGGGGATGGAGGCGCTTTAGCTGCTCCGATCTACCGGGGACTTCTGAGAGAGTAATTGATATCATTGGAGACTTTAATCGCCGAGATTTCTTCACATATGTGAGAATGGATAACTGAACAACTCGCCGGAAACAACAAGGCCATCGGTGATGACTTTGCTTTGTCGAGGTTGGGGACATCCGGAGAAACCCAAAAGAATGGAGAAAGAACGAGAATGTTTCAGATCTGGATTTTAAAAGAGAGAAGCCACCTGAGGATGAAAATGAGAGCCAAGGAAAACACACATGAGCACCTCCAAGCTCAGATTCGCCTAACATACTTAGCAAGAAGCTAGATCCGATTCGTTTCCATGTCTGAAAAAGGTATAGTGGTAGGACGGTGATGTGGCGGTGGTGAGAACGGCAAAGGGAGATTGTGAGCTGTGTAGAAGCATCAGATCTGGAAGAACAGTGGTGACACACTTCGTTTCTCAAGTTAGAACATCTACGAAAATGAAGAACACTTAGCATATAGCTAGAATCTGGGAGAAAACTGGTTTAAAAGCACCTAGCAAAAGCTAGAAGGATGGCGGTGAGGAGAGAGAGAGAGAGAGAGAGAGGTAAGGCGGAGAAGATGAAAACGGGAGTTGGGTAGAAACGACCTCGGGGTTTGTGCTTGAGAGCTTTTCATTGCACGTCTCCTAAGAGCATGTGTATGGGTGATACCGATATAGTATCATTATAAATTTTTTAGTATTATTTATAATATTTGTTTATTGTTTGAGATTTTTTATGATACCCCTACTAAATATGTTTGCATTGGTGAGACCGGTTTAAGTATCATACAAAAAAAAAAAATTTGCAAAATCAAAAATTAATATATTAAAACATAGGATTACAAAAGGTAATATTACAACAAAAAAACGTAGAATATACTTAAGCAAAATAAAACATAAAATTCAAAAAAACTGAAAAAACATGATGATAAAAATAATTTAGTCGCTTGTAGTCAATTACCTTCGCCCCATTTTTGCCAAATATGTTCAATCAAATCTTCTTTCAATTGTCGATGTGTTTGTTCATGACGTATTTGAGCTCGATTGACCATCAAATTGTTCACATTTGTAGCTGTCTCTGTAGAAAAAGAGTTGTCTACTTGAGAAGTCCCGCTTCCTTCGCCTTCTACGAAATCAGATAAATCGAACTGGGTATCTTCGTCTCGTTCATCTTCTACAATCATATTGTGCAATATGATACATGCTCTCATTATCTTGCCCATTCGCTCTTTATCCCAAAACAGACCTGGGTTTCGAATAATAGCAAACCGAGCCTGCAAGACTTCAAAAGCACGCTCGACATCTTTTCTCACTGCTTCTTGACAACTAGCAAATAATGATGCTTTCTGTCCTTGTGGGCGGGTAATTGATTGGATGAATGTTGCCCACTTCGGATATATACCATCTGTGAGGTAATAACCCATGTTGTATTGATGTCCATTGACTTCGTACCTGAGTCGTGGAGCTCGACTTTCTAATATATCATCAAACACCGGTGAGCGGTCAAGAACATTTATATCATTACACGTACCTGGAGCCCCAAAAAAAGCATGCCAAATCCATAAATCTTGTGATGCCACGGCCTCTAGAACGATAGTGGGTTTTCCATGTCCGCGTGAATACTGCCCTTTCCAAGCCGTAGGACAATTCTTCCACTCCCAATGCATACAGTCAATGCTTCCTACCATTCCCGGAAATCCGCGTTCTTTTCCAGAAGGAAGTAATCGTTCTAGATCCTCACGTGTAGGCCGCCTCAAATATTCATCTTGGAATAAATTTATTATGCCATCTACAAAATTCTCTAGTGCTTGACTCACAGTGGTTCCGCCCATGCGGAGGTATTCGTCCATCGCATCGTTTGCAAGACCATATGCCAGACGCCTAATTGCAGCAGTACATTTCTGTAGGGCGGATAGACCTTGTTCAGTTTCTAGCCAATTCAAGTGTTCAGTTTCTAGTCAATTAAGTTTCAATTCAGTTTCAGTTTCAAGTCAATTAAGTTTCAATTCAGTTTCAGTTTCAAAAGTGTTTTAGTTTCAAGTGTGTTTCAAGTGTTTCAGTTTCAGTTTCAAAAGTGTTTCAGTTTCAAGTGTTTCAGTTTCAGTTTCAAAAGTGTTTCAGTTTCAAGTGTGTTTCAAGTGTTTCAGTTTCAGTTTCAAAAGTGTTTCAGTTTCAACCAAGAAAAAAATAGAATCATTTAAGAGATTACCTTTCACCTCCGCAGATTCATCGAAAAATGCAAAATTTAAAAGATTGAGCAGTAACACACCTGAGTCTTCTCCTTTGAAGCACTGCTTTGAGCAATTAAAACCTATTATCCAAAAAAACAATCACGAATCAGAAGAAGAAATCATAAATCAATAGCAATTAAAGGTAACTAGAACTAAGAATTTCAAAATTAACTTGTTTAATTGCAAGAAACTGACAATTGAAGTCTCCATAACCTGTTTAATTGCAACAAGAATGACAATCAATAGCAATTAAAGGTAACTAGATTAACAATTACAAAACCCTAATCCAGAAATTACAAAAATTACAAACCGAAATTAACAATTACCAAACCCTAATCATAACGAAATTCAATTTCCAGAAATTACAAAAATCAAGCAAAGAATTTTCAATTTCAAACCGAAATTAACAATTACCAAACCCTAATCCAACAAAAACCTAACCCTAATCCAAACCATAATCCAATTTCACCTTCTCAAACGTATTTCCCGAAACCCTAAAAACAAACCAACCCTTGAATCGACCCAAACCCTAATCCTAGATCTACACACTACAAAATGAAATCAGAAATCAACTTATCTTCACTCATAGTCGTCTGAATCGCCGGCGGATCTCCTTCTCCAACCGACAGCTCTTGATTAAGTTCTTCTTCGAGGAGATCTATGGCACCTCGACGAGACAGATTACGAGTGGAGACGCAGAGGTGAAGAGAGATCTTAAGAGATCTGCATGTTCTTCTTCCACGGGGAACTTTAGAGATCCGCCGGCGATGAGAACGAAGGAGCAACGGAGAATCGCCAAATCGCAGACAGAGAGGAAGAAAGAAGAATGCGAAAACGAAGACTGATTTTTTTTTTTTCTCTCTTTTCCCACAAAAACGCGTTTTCCCCGACTAATCCCGAGCCGCCATGTCATCAGAGACTGGTATCAAGAATATCACTGCAGTGATACGGCTCAGGCCCAAGTCAATGGTTTTACCCATTAATTTAATGTTTTTGGGCTTATGATACCCAAAAAAAAATGTCCTATGTACATGGTCTAAAGGTATTGTTTATCAGCTTCGCTTGACCTAATAATAATCTTGGGGATGTTTTGATTTTGACAGGTGTGAGTAACTATTGCGGTTGCTTTATGTATATAAAGCAGGTGAACAGATCACGAATCTTATTGAGGTAATATCTTAAAAACACTGAAATTTTCCAAAGATTGGTTTTATCTTCCGGCTATTAAGTCTTTGGCTTTGGGGTTTGTGTAGGCTACTGAACAAGACCATGAGAAGGAAAAGCTTAACGAGAGAATTGCTAAATTATCAGGCGGTGTTGCTGTGATTCAGGTGAGACAATTAGAAACAAATCACATGATGCAAAAAAAGTAATTGCAGGTAATAATAATAAGATTATTCTTAAACATTTTATATTCTTTAGGTTGGAGCCCAAACTGAGACAGAGCTTAAGGAGAATAAATTGAGAGTTGAAGATGCTCTTAACGCTACAAAGGTAACAACATCATCTCTAAGCAAAGAGTCTTACAATGTTTCTACATCCTAAACTGTTGAAACCTTCAAACTATATTTCAGGCGGCTGTGGAAGAAGGTATCGTTGTTGGAGGAGGATGCACTCTGCTAAGACTTGCATCAAAAGTGGATGCCATTAAAGACACTCTAGCAAAAAATGAAGAAAAGGTAAGTCCAAAAGACTAGCACTGCAGAAAAACCTATAAATGATTGTTAAGGGAGTTATTGGGCTTTAGAAATATAAGGCCCAATCCAAGAGAAGCCCATCAACGAAGCGGGCCTTAAGCCCAAAGGCATCGAGGCCCAGACGACCTCGCCGCCTTACGAGTCTGCCACGTCACCAGACGCGAGGGTAAAACCGGTAAAACCTGTCAGGGTACGCCCTACTCCGCAGGAGTATAAAAGCAGGACGACTAGTCCTGTCACATCCATCGAAAATCACGCTGACACGGCAAGGACACGAAGAGCTCGGCTAGGATACGAAGAACTCGGCTAGGATACGAAGAGCTCGGCTAGGATACGAAGAACTCGGCTAAGACACGAAGACCGATCTCAGTCTAGAAAAGGAAAGCGACCTCAAACTTTATTCAGCTCGGAAAACGACCTACAGTTCGGCCTCATCGACGACCTGGAATCCTCAATCCAAAGTCATCGATCTCGGCTCGCCTAACGCTATTTGAACTCTCAGCTCGAATTGTTTTAGGAGATTCTTTTTACTTCCCCAGAGAAACCCTATTTCGTACTTGTGTGATTCGTGCATCAACAGTTGGCGCGTCAGGTAGGGGGATAGCTCAGAGATTTCTCCAGTCAACAAAACGAGCCCGCGATAACACGATGGCAACCGATGGAAACCAGGGAACCAGCATGGGCGTCCGAGACGACAACGCATCCTCCACGGGAGGAGAGACGGTGACGCCGATCCCGTTAGGAGTACTTCCGACAAGGAAGGCTACCCATACCTCGGTAGCTATTCCCGCATCGTTACCTCAGACGCCCGAGGGGCCAGCAGAAGCGGTAAGGAACGAAACGCCCCCGGCACACCAGGAGGAAGGCGAACCGACCTCTCCCGACAGACGACGTCCAACGAACCTCGAAGAAACCCGTGCAGAACGGCACGCTGCGGCACCAACTCCCGCCGAACCAAACCGACTGCTCCAGAACATCCTCGACCATCTAGGTCGATAGGACGCACGAACAGATGCTCGGTTCGCATCTCTAGCCGCAGCTCAAGCGTTCTCCATGGACGAGATCAACCGTTTGCAAACGAGTCGGAGTGCAAACGCGGTCTACACTCCAGAACTCCCCGGACGTCCCCAGGTAGCTCAGCCCGTCCAAACCATGGGCAGCACCAATCCGCGACATACGGAGATCGCCGAACTGAGACGCGCCGTCCTGGAAATGAGCTCGAAAATTCATCGTGCCACTAGCTCGGCTCCAGAACTCGACCGTGTGCTCGAGGAAACTCAGCAAACCGCTTTCACCCGAAGAATCACAAGCGTTTCCGTCCGCGGATCCAAGAAAATCAAATTGGAAAGGTACAGCGGAAAAGGCGACCCTAAGGAATTCCTGCAATCTTTCAGCGTCGCGATTAACCGCGCCGAGCTGACTCCAGAAAACTTCGAGGCAGGGCGGTGCCAGATCTTCATCGAACATCTCACGGGCCCGGCTCTCAACTGGTTCTCCCGCCTAAAGCCAAACACGATCAGCAGCTTCAACCAATTATCGTCGTCTTTCCTAAAGCATTATTCACCTCTCATCGAGAACCAGACGTCCAACGCCGACCTGTGGTCCCTATCGCAAGGCTCCAAGGAATCACTCCGATCATTCATCGATCGCTTCAAGGTGGTAGTAACCAAAATCACCATCCCTGACGAGGCCGCGATAGTAGCCCTACGCAACGCCGTCTGGTACGATTCAAAGTATAGAGACGATATCACTCTTCATGCTCCGAACACTCTCGAGGACGCACTTCATAGAGCCTCGCGGTATATCGAGCTCGAAGAAGAACGGCTCGTTCTAGCCAAAAAGCATAATCCACCCAAAACATCCGTAACCAAGGAGACTGCTTCGGCGATACCTAACACAGCAAACAACGCCGAACCAAAGCAACATTCCAAAGGCAACATCGGCCAGGCACGACGACCTACGACCTTCGTCGTTAACAGCGAGACACCATCACCGAGGCCGTGGAACAAATATGTAAGGGACACTGATTCCCCGGCATCGACTTCAATATTCTGTGAATACCATAAAAGTAGAGCGCACGCCACTGAGGATTGCCCGTATCTGCAAAGCTTGCTGATGGCAAAATATAAGAGCGGAAGCATCGCGATCGAGTGCGACCGCGCCCAAGGAAGTAAGAATCAAAAGCGTAACGAGAGCACGGCTCGTCAATACCTACAAGACCACGCGAAAACCGAGGAAGTCGAGGATGCGAATGATTCCGCCAAAAGACCTCGGAATGGAAAGGCACCAGCCGAAGCTCCGGTGGTCGTCAGACAGGTCCGAATGATAATGGGCGGACTGCAAAACTGCAACGATTCAGTTCGGTCAATTAAACAACATCGCAAAAAAGCTGAAATGAAGGAAGTATGGCCGTCCACGAGCGCACCACCAACTACGCCCGACGACGAACCCATATCGTTTACCCAATCCGACCTGGAGGGCGTCGATACACCGCATAACGACCCTCTCGTCGTCGAACTCATCATCGGCGATAGCCGAGTAACTAGAGTGCTCATCGATACTGGAAGCTCGGTCGACCTCATCTTCAAGGACGTTTTGGCTATAATGAACGTCAGCGATCGGCAAATAAAACCCGTATCGCGCCCGTTGGCCGGATTCGATGGTGACTTCGTAATGACAATCGGAACGATCAAGTTGCCCGTATTCGTCGGAGGAACGATCTCGTGGGTCAAGTTCGTCGTAGTTGACAAGCCCGCAGTTTACAACGTTATTTTGGAGACACCCTGGATGCATCAAATGCAGGCGATCCCGTCCACATACCACCAGTGCATCAAGTTCCCGACGCACAACGGAGTGTTCACCTTGAGAGGGAATCAACAGATCGCAAGAACATGTTTTCTCATCGAACACAAGAACCGCGTCGCTAAGAAGTTATAGCAATTAACGATGCCAACATCGTCGACCGTCCCGACCCTAAAAAAGTCCCTTGAAGAGCCTCAACTAAGCAAGACAGAACAAGTGAACATTGATGAAACGGATAAGACAAGATGCGTCGCAATCGGAGCCGAGATAGTACCATCGGTTAAAGAACCACTCATCGCATTTCTAAAAAAGAATTCTAAAACGTTCGCCTCGAGCGTAGACGACATGATAGGCATCGACCCTATGATCGTTACGCACGAGCTTAACGTCGACTCAACCTATAAACCGGTAAAGCAGAAAAGGCGAAAGTTGGGACCGGAGCGAGCCAAGGCCGTAAATGACGAAGTCGATAAGCTATTGAAGGCTGGCTCGATAACCGAGGTAAAATATCCAGAATGGCTAGCGAACCCGGTCGTGGTGAAGAAGAAGAACGGCAAATGGCGTGTTTGTGTAGACTTTACCGACCTCAATAAGGCGTGCCCAAAAGACAGCTACCCGCTCCCCCACATCGACAGGATAGTCGAAGCGACCGCCGGGAACGAACTTCTGTCCTTCATGGATGCATTCTCGGGATACAATCAAATCCTCATGCACAGAGATGATAGGGAAAAGACCTCGTTCATCACAGACCGAGGAACCTATTGCTACAAGGTGATGCCATTCGGCCTCAAAAACGCCGGCGCGACGTACCAACGTTTGGTAAATAAGATGTTCGCTGATCATCTCGGACGAACCATCGAAGTTTACATAGACGACATGCTGGTAAAATCTCAAGTAGCAGCCGACCATGTCCGACACCTAAGCCAATGCTTCGACGTACTGAACGAATACAATATGAAATTAAACCCCGCGAAATGCACGTTCGGCGTAACATCCGGCGAGTTCCTGGGGTACATGGTCACGCAGAGGGGGATCGAGGCTAACCCAAAGCAAATTCGCGCAATCCTCGATCTGCCTTCTCCAAAGAATGCACGCGAGGTGCAGCGACTAACAGGACGGATCGCCGCACTCAACCGCTTCATCGCCAGATCGACGGACAAGTGCTTACCCTTCTATAACCTCTTAAAAAGGAAGGACAAGTTTGCATGGGATGAAGCAAGCGAAAATGCTTTCAACGAACTCAAACAGTACCTCACGACGCCCCCGGTTCTCGCTAAGCCAGAAAACGGTGAAACGTTATTTCTATACATCACGGTATCAAGCTCGGCCGTGAGCGGTGTGCTTGTTAAAAATGACCGAGGCGACCAGAAGCCGATCTTTTACGTCAGCAAGTCCCTTATCGAAGCCGAGACACGCTATCCCACGATGGAAAAAGCTGCGCTAGCGGTCGTAACATCGGCCAGGAAATTACGTCCCTATTTTCAATCCCACACAATCGCCGTTCTCACCGACCAACCACTACGAACCGCCCTACACAGTCCGAGCCAGTCCGGGAGAATGGCTAAATGGGCAATCGAGCTCAGCGAATACGATATGGACTTCAGGACCTGACCAGCAATGAAATCGCAAGTGTTAGCCGACTTCCTCATTGAACTACCGCTCATTCCAAAAAACCTAAGCGGCGACCCCGAGCCTGGCGACCCTCAGAACGGCGTCTGGACGCTGTACGCCGATGGGTCCTCGTCATCGCATGGCTCTGGCGTCGGCATACAACTGGTCTCACCAACCGGGGAAATAATCGAGCAGTCGTTTCGTCTGCGTTTTACGGCAACAAATAATGTCTCCGAATACGAAGCACTCATTGCCGGTCTACGTCTCGCCCTAGGAATGAAGATCAAACGAGTCCAAGCATACGTGGATTCACAGCTCGTCGCAAATCAATTTAGCGGCGAATACGAAGCCAAAAACGACACTATGGAGGCATACCTCAAGGTCGTCAAGAAGTTATCCTCACAGTTTACACATTTCGAACTAACCAAAATCCCGCGAGGAGATAACGCGCCGGCTGACGCTCTCGCCGCATTAGCATCCACGTCGGACCCCGACCTTCGACGTATTATCCCGGTGGAAAGCGTAGACCGACCAAGCATCGAAGCAATCGATACTGTCAATTTCGTCGG